TTTAGATATTAGAACAGAAAACTAACTAATACAACAGTCACATGAGCTTGAAAGAAAATCCCAGACTGGAATGCAGCCCAGCTGACCTCATGAATTTAGCCTTATAAGACTCCCTTAGCAGACACCATGGCATATGCAGGTGTTATAATAAGCTACTAAGCTTGTAGTAATTTGTTATCTAGCAAGAGAACACTAATGCATGGGGAAAACTTTATCTGAAGAAGGAGGATAGTAAGAGGTGATCCATTTGTAAACTCTGTCCTGATTTAGTAAAGAAGGATGATTTGAGAGGGCATCAATCAGTATGAGGGAGAGATAAAGGCAAATTTTAAGTAACAATTGCTGTGGTTTGAATGTGTCCAACAAATTTCATGTGTTGACACCATAGACCCTGTATTCTTATGTTAATAGTATTTTGAGATGAAGCCTAAGGGGTGATTTGGTCATGTGAGAACAGTCTTCATGAGCAGATTAACCTGTTTATGGTTTAATGGATTCCTGGATTGTGGAGGGAGTGACTTGGTTATAAATGGGTTTTCTCTACCTTGCTTGCTCTGTATCAGTAGACTACCATCCACAAAGCCACCACACAGTTAAAAGACCCATGCCAGAAGTGGAATAGATGTTTTTGTAATGCCCTTGACCCCACAAAACTCCAGAACTATAAGCTAAATCAGCTTCTATTCTTTATAAATCACCTTGTCTCAGATACTTTGTTAAAGTAACAGGAAATAGACTACGATGGTAATCTAAAAGAGTTCTTGGACTGGAAAGATGTTTGGCCTCTAAAGAAGCTTGGCCAGATCCACCTTTGTGTGCCAGCTGCCACTGTCAGAAGGCTTGCTTCCAGTAGATAGCCAGTACAGGCAGGAAGACACAGCCAGATATACCCCATGAATCTGTCACCATCGTGGGAAGGCTTGTTTCCTGTGGGCAGCCAGTGTAGGCAGGAACACTCAGCCAGATGTGCTCCTGCACACCTGCTGTTGCCATCAGGAGACTTGCTTCCTGTGGGCAGCCAGCAAGGGCAGGGGGACACAGACAGATATGCCCCTTGTACTCATGGGCTGCCATTGGAGACCCTTCCTTCCTTCAGGCAACCAGTGCCCACCAGGGGATCAGACAAATACATCAAATACATTCCTGTGTGCCTGCTGCCATTTAGGGAGTCCCAGTGAAGACACACATGTTGAGAAAAGAAGCAGTCACACCACCATGCATCTCTGACCATCGGGGAAGCCTCAATCCAGTAGTTGTACAAGTATGGAGAAGCCTGCCCCATGTCCTGTTATCTCCCTAGAAACTTGGGTTCAGAGAAACCCAGTTGCCTGTCCAATTCCCCTACACCATGGCCAATGTGGGAAGTGGCTGGCTTGTTGGGAGGAACCCAGGAGAATGTTAAGAGGAAGGAACAAAAAGCAATCTCAGACCTCCCGCCCACACTGAACAAGTCTGGAAGACATAGTCCTGGAATAAAATGGAAGTCACACACCTGAACTCACTAAGAGGATAGCAACTGAAGTAAGCAACTTCGTGAGATTGTAAAAGTAATCAGATTAGAAATAATGTCTCGAGTAAAAGAAGCAATTACAAACATAGTGAAAGAATTGCTAAGCATGTCTGAAGAAATCATAGCTGAGAAAGGTGAGTGTAGGAAAATGATGGAAACCTTGAATGGACAATGTAGAAAGGAATTAAGATGAATGAAACAGATTCAAAGAGATATCCAGGAAATTAAAATCTCCATTAAAAGCTGGCAAAACCAATTGAAAGGGGCTGAAGACACTTTCAGATCTCCATGAATCAGAAGACAGGATCATAACTAGCAACTGCGAAAGGAAATATCTCTTAAAAAGAACAAGGAGACAAGAAATAACAATTCAATGGCTGAAAGATGATGTAAAATAAAATAATTTAAGAGTGATAGGCAGCAGTGAAGAAGCAAGGGTCAAGACAAATGAAGCAAAAAGACTGTTTACAGAAGTAATAGCAAAAAACTTCCCAAACATGGGGAAAAGACCTGCATACAGATAACCAAGGCGTAGAGAACTCCAACTAGCCATAACTAAAGTAAATCTATATCCAGACATATAATAATCAAGATCCCAAAAATTCAACACAAGAACACAGTGTTAACAGCTATTAGAAAAAAGAAACAGATCACCTATAAAGGAAAACCCATCAGAATCACAGCAGACTTGTCAACACAACCCATCTAATCAAGAAGAGTTTAGAGTGATGTGTTTCAAATCCTGAGAGAAAACAACTTCCAGCCCAGATTGATGTACCCTGAAAAACTATCTTTCATGATTGATGGAAAAATAAGATACTTCCATGATAAAGAACAATTGAAGGCATTCATGACCACCAAACCAACACTACAGAGAATGTTGAAGAATATTCTAGAAAGAGATAAAGATGACCATGGTTCCAGGAAAAGCAGAGGAGGAGGATCACTGAACAGGTCAGGCAACTGAATGAAGGGGGAAAGTGGAGGGCCAACAGCAGGCGGATAGCACGGCAAAGATGAACCAATGCATGCTCGTTGTTACCATTGATGTAGATGGTCTCAATACACCAGTCACAAGAAACACAAGGAGAGTAGGTAAAGAAATAAGATCCATCAGTACGCTGCATATGAGAAACACATTTGACTCAAAAGGAAATTCATAGACTGAAAAATCAAAGGAGACAAAACCATTGTTCCACATGACAGAAGACCAGAAAAAATGAAGAGTAATTTGTCCATCAACTGCAGAATGGATACAAAAGTTATGGTGTTTTCATACAATGAGAAGCTACCTAGTTATAAAGTGATAAAATCTTGAGACTCTTGCAGGTAAATGGATGCAACTGGAGATCGTGCTCATGGGTGAAATGGTTTGGACTCATATGAGTGAACACTGAGTTATCTTCTTAGCATAAAAAACTGAAGGAGTTAATGGGACCCAAAAAATACAATAGATATTATGAAAGTGATAGGGAAGGAAATGCCTAAAAAGGGAAGATGGTAGCCACTGTTCATTTCCGATTATCTTGTTTTTAAGTCCTATAATGTGTTCATTCTTTTGCTTTGATTGGTTTTATTCTTTTATTTGATTTTATTGTATGTGATAGCTATTTTGAAGAAAACAACAGATATTATAATAGCCATTGTTTATTTCTTACTACCTTGTTTTGAAATCCTGTAATGCTTTCATTCTTTTGTTTTGATTTCTTTTAGTCTGCTTTGTATTGTTTGATTTTATTATTGTGAAGGTATGGACAGATATTTTGAAGAAAAAAAGAGACATTATGGTTGCCATTGTTAATTTCCAATTATCTTGTTTTGAAGTCCTGAAACACTTTCATTCTTTTATTTTGATTGGTTTTATTCTGTTTTGTTCAATTTTATTGTGTGTGATGGTATGGACAGCTATTTTGAAGAAAACTGGAGACATAGTAGCCATTGTTGAGGACATTGTAACAGACTTGCTTATTATGTGGCTATTAATCCCACCCACACAGCAGCAATGAAAGGAGCTCTTTGCTTCTCCTAACCTGAGTTCCCGAGAAGCAAGGCATTCCTTCCCAGAAACATTATCTGAGCAAAAAAAACCAAAACAATAAAAATCAGGCATATTCCCTAATCCTGACTCTGCCCCAAGCCTGTGGGATAGCAACTCAGGACTCAGAACACCCTTCCAACCTCAGAACCCACCTGATTAATGCAGCTGATTTACAAGTTCAACTATCTTTTATTTTAGCAAATCTTTATGCCTGCCCTCCATATCCCCCTCCCTATACAATAGAATTCCTTCCTGGATACACTTAGTTATTGAAGTTGTACTACAATCATTTCTCTCCTTCCATTTCCTTTCTGGAATCTGAACTCACTGGATGTTGGACCTCATAATCTTATGTTAGGATTTTTTTTTCTTTCTTATTTACCATTGGTGTTTTTGTGCCAATGTCTGAGATATTTCTGAAACTTTCATCTCCTGAGCAGATTTTAAGCTTCTAAATTTCTGCTGTCTTATTTATAACCTCCAAATAATTTTCTCATTCTATTTTTCTTTTATATAGCAGCCTCATCTTGTCTAAGGAAAGCAATATTTCATCTCATTGTAGTGGGTTTTTTTGTTGTTGTTGTTGTTTTGTTTTTTTGTGGTTTTTTTTTTTTTTTTGTCTTTTTGTTTTTATCGGTACCAGGGATCGAACTCACAACCGCACACTTGCAAGGCAGGCGCTTATGCTACTGAGCTAAATCCCCAGCCCCCTGTAGTGGATTTTTAAGTCTTCTGCTTCCCACTGTGTCTCTGTACTCTGTTTTTCCTGAGGTTTAAGCTTGCCTCTGATTTGAATTCTCAATCGTTTTTGTCTCTTCTTCACATTGAAAGCGTTCTCATCTGCTCATAATCTCACCCAAGGAGCTAAGAAAGTTGAAAGTACAGAGTAGAGAGCAAGCTTAGATCCAGAAAGACTCAAAGATCCTGGAAGTGTTTGCTTGCCGAAAAGAAAGGAGTTTCATTTTTCTTCAGAATACATTGCACAGGATAGCTGCTGTAAAAGTGACTTCTCGTTCTGCCTAGAACTCTCCCTACACACTGTCTACACTATCGTGAGAGTCACAAGGCAGCTGCTATTTTACATACACTATGAAAATATGTTTGCCATAAGTTTCCTCTATGGCTCCCCATTTGTCTCCCACTAATCCTCCTGCTGCAGCTCTTTCATAACCTCTCAAATGCCAGTCCTGCTGAGCTATCTCAAACAGGATAAACACAGCCAGGATACATGAGCACCAACAGCCAGGCAGCACAGTGGGATTATCAAGAGAATGCGCCCTACCAAACACCAGCAATCCTTTCAAAGAAGTAAGCTCACACCAAGGGTCCCACTAGAGTCCTACACCAAAGCCCATGTTCATCATAGCTGACCCTCCTCTACTCTGTAGAATTTATTTTTGTTCTCCCAAGAGACTGGTTCCCAGGGGAACAAGTCTCTCATGTTCCATATGGAACTGCAGGCATCGTGCGTGGCAGAAAGAAGATCCTAGAGGATGCTGCGTCTCCTGCTCATCTGCCTTCTGCCAGGCACTAGTGGGGAGAACTGTCTCCGCTGCTGGTCAGACTTGCCTGCCCTGCTTGACTATGACCTACAGATTCTCTGGGGCACCCCAGGGCCACCTGCAGAACTCTCCCAGAGCCTCCACTCCCTTTTCCAAGAGGACAACGACTTGTTCCAAACGTGGTATCTTGGTGAGGCACAACAAGGAGGCCCAAGACCAAGGCTGGCTTCTCCAGCTGCCTGGCCCTTCCTCACCTAACTTTCTCCCTTCTCATATTCATTCCTCAGATCGAGATCTTGTAGAAGAGGAGACAGCCAAACTCTTCAACCAAGTAGATCAAGCCATTGGGAAGTTTAGGGACGGTAAGAAAACTTGTGTTTCTTACCCAAGACTTGGGGTGACAGAGCTGGACCCTCCAACACATTCCCAGAGGGGGACTTTGGCCATGGCATAGGAAAAAGCCCTTAAAGCGTGTGAGACAAGCATGCATATCTTTGCATGTTCTGTAGAATGTCTGCTTGAAAACACTGGTTTAGAATCTCAGCCTTAAGCAAGTTTATAATCAGGCATCTTTCCCTCCTGCTCCACCTAGACAAAGCATTACTTCTGAGAGAGATTCATATGCACAAGGACCTCTTTGCCCAGAGGCTGAACAAAAGAGCTGAGGGGCTGAGGGAGCAGAGTAAGATACAAAGTTGCCCTGCCCAAGCCCTTCCTGTCCTGCCATCCTGGCAGAATCCAGTCTGCAGCCCCACCACCCGGGCCTTCCCAGAAGCCCCTGCCTCCCTCACCTGCAGCCTGGACCATGCCTGCCACAACATCCCCACATCCTGCTCACTTGCCCCGCCCCTCTCAGTTCTGTTTGCCTCCTCAACATTTTATTTCTTCACCATCTCACCTTTCTTGGCAGCCTGCAATAAGTCATGCGGTGAGTATGGCCTGAGCCTGGGCCTGAGTGGGGGATGTCAGTCTCTGCCCGCTCTGAGGTCCTGCTTGGCGCTCTCTTAGGTTTCAGGTCTAAAATGGAGGTCACCACATGTGCCAACTGCAAGGCTCACTTTCTGTCTTGCAATGACCCTGTCTTCTGCCCAGGTCAGTGGCCTTTCCTGTCCAGCTCCTTTGTCCAGCTGTCCAGCTCCTCTTCTCCAGGGCCATTGCTGTCTCCACCCATCTTCCTCCTCTCCCAACCTGGAACTTGCTCTCCTTCTTCCTCCAGGAGCAGTAGCACCTGTGGGACCCCTTGGTGTGCACATGTCCAGCTTGAGCTATGCAGCCCTCTGCCCCGAGGTTCTCAAGAGTTAGATGCCTGGAAATTTGCCCAAAAACATTTCTATTTCCCCCAAATCTGCTCTGCTTTCAAGGTCCTTCTCAGCAAATGTCCCCACCCACGCCTTTCCAAGCCAGGAAATCCCTTTACATTCCCCTCTGACTAACCATGTGGGATCACCACATCTTGCTAAATAACTCTTAAGAGTGTTCTCAGATCTTCCCTTCTTACCTCCTCGACTCTTCCTAAGGCATCCTGATCTCTCATTGAGTTAAGGCAGCCTTTTCTATCTGGCCTCCTTCCCATCCTGGAGACATCTCACTCCACCGTGAGACGACTCTCAGGGAGAACACTGCCCCACGGCATTCCCTGTTTACCACCTCCTGTGGCTCCCAGCTTCCCTCAGATCACATCCAGACTCCTCGTTCACCCCGTATGCAGCTGCTCCTGTGCTATCCCCTTGACCCCCAACCACATCAGGCTCTAGATACTCTGGATAGATGTGCTGCTTCATGCTCCTTGCCCACAACCATGTCCTTCCAGAACAGTTTTGGCCATGATCACTGGATCTGAGCCCATATTTGTCTTTTGCAATCCACTCCAGGTCCTATTTCTTGAGTAATCTTCTCTGGGCAGCTCCCACCTTCAGAGTGTTATCAGCCTTCTTTACCATGGTCCTATTTCCTGTGGACACCACACTGTAACTGTTTGCTTTTCCCCCTTGTGGAGAGACAGAATCATGACTCACTCATGTCTTGAGATATACCAGGCAAAGAATAGGTACACAGAGTTTGCAAATAAGTGACCGAGTGAACAAATAGTGGGAGAGCTGCACGGCATTCTCTTGAGCAGAGGCAACTCTGCCTGGCCTCCACACACCAGGCTCCACCCTCTCATACCCCAGCCAGGGACCTTCAGAGCAACAAGTGGACTATGCTCCTCCTGGGCTTCGGGATTGCACTACCCCTGATCACAGCTGGAGGTGGGTAAGTGACTGTTCCTAGCCCCAGCACCCCAAGAGGGACACTCCCGCCCCTTGTCTGACTCCTCCGCCCTGCTTCGTGGCCCAGGTGTTATCTCTTGTGGCTCAAGAAGAAGAAGGAGGAGGAGACAGAAGAGGTATTCGGGAAAGAGACCCCTGCCAGAACCCAGGGTTGCTCCAAAGGGAAGGAGGGTGTCCTGGGGACAGCAGGACTCAAGGGCCCCAGCTGGAGTCCTAGGATCTGACATCCATTGTAGAGTGGGATAGTAGACCACAGATGTAGCCAGGGCCAGTGACATGAGGTAGCCTTGCTCCAGGCCTCTGGCCCTTACATAGAGTGGCCCTGCTCTTTGTGGTCACTGTCCCCTGCCAACTCCTTCCTTTTGCCCCCTTGGCTGCTGGCACAGGTCACCACACTGCTGCCTCTGTCTGGCTCCCAGGTGAGTGTGGCCAGTGGGGACTCCCAGCAGGAAGTGAGAGGGACAGGTCAGAGTGGAAACCCTTGCTTCTTTTCTCTTCACAGGAACAAGGGAGTTACTCATCTCTCAAAAATAAACAGGGGACACTAGAAAGCTCACACACAACTGTTTCTGAGCTTTCCATCCTGTGACCCCTTGCATTCCAGGGCCACAAGACCCTCAAGGTTCTGCGGTCATGCCCTCGAGATGGCAGGCCCTCATGGTTTCCCTCCACACATGCCTTTGTAAAAAAGCCCTTCATTAAACATCCCTTGAATTCTAAGAGACTGCACCTTCTACTTCCTGCTTTGACTTGAGCCAAGAAGAGACTTCCATAATTGTCTATGGGTTGTTCTGTCTCCCCATCCTCCCTGTGACCTACCATCCTCTTCCTGTCCTTGTCCCAGAGCAACAGCTTCTCATGCTCGTGCCAGCCTCACCTAATTATAACACTAGGGACAGGGACAGAGATGGTCTGGGTGGCGTCAGAGATCACTACCTCTAGGCATGGACCAGAATAGGTGAGAGACCAGCTGAGGACCCAGTCAAGAGCAGACAGTAACAAGAAGACACCAGAAATAGGCTCCAGGTTCTGCCATCAGCAAGACCAAGCCTTGGTGCAGATGTATGCAATTGTTAGTGCTGCTGGTAAATGTTTTTCCCCAGCCTTGCTGCGATGGGAGGTTTTCCTTTCTCCTTATCTTTCCATGCATTTTTCCCGCTCAGGACCCAGGGCTGCTATGCCAGAGAGACCCAGGTGTGTCCCTCTCCCATCTACCTCTGCACTGGGTCCCTCCACACCATCTCCCTGCTACCCTCTTGGCCTCTCAGTCTGATCCTCATTCTGTCCCGAGACTAGCCAGGAGCCCTTCTACAACTTGAAGTCTGTGAAGCCCCTCACAATTCCAGCAGACCCAGAGTCCCAGTCAGTGGAAAGGAAGTGGATCTGAGGTCTAGCTTTTGAGTAAGCACCCCAGAGTCTGGGCTCCCTCCCTGGTGCCAACGAAGGGCCCTGGGCTCCCCATCTGAGCCTCGGTTCCTCCATCTGAGCATCATGATGGGAGGCAAGGTGACATTTTAGCAGCCAAGTGATGTGCCCTGGCCTAGAACCTACTTGGTCACCCTTGATGTCCAATATTTGTTTATTTTGTGGGTTCAACTTCTAAGTCTCATCTCTGACACTGTTGGGATTCCCTGCCCAGTCCTAAAGCAAGACTTCTAGTCTCCTGCATCTTGCTAGGACCCTCTCTTTGGAGCTGGCAGCCTAACTTGGAAAAGCAGGGTAAATTCAGAGGCACAATCCCAAGCAAGGGCTGCTCCAGGACTACTGCTCAGGGACTCAAAGAGACCACAGGCAAGGGAGGAAGAGCCCATAAATGACAGCCATGCCAGAGAGCATCACAGGACCATGTGCTGGTCCTCAACACGGGCATCTGTGGCTCACCAGAAATCCAGGAAGGTACTATGATTCGGGCTGCAAATGGCCCAGTGGCCATGTGCTGGTGTCTGAGTTGCCAGCTGATGAGTGATTGGAAGGCAGGAGGAGAAGACAGTTCTGACTTCATCAGTGGGGTAAGCCACAGATGGCTTCATAATTAGATGACTTTATTGGGAGGTGGTGGAAAGTGAGGAGATAGATATTGGGAGGAAGTCATGGATGCGTGAGCTTGGGTATCTGACCTTGTTCCCAGCCCCTTCCTTTCTGGGATTCTCTCTGCTTCCTCACTGACATGAGTTAGAGGACTTTCCTCCACCACCTTTCTGCCATAATTTTCTGCTTTACAGCATGGAACCAGCTGACCAAGCCCTGAAACCTCTGAAACAGTGAACCAAAGTGCACTTTTCTTCCCTTGAGGGTTTTGTTTTGTTTTGTGGGGTATTTTTTACATTTTAAAAATTTTTGTTAGTTAAAGTTATTAGTACAAAATGATCACATTTATTGTGAGGATTGGGTATGTGTACATAGCACATCTTAACTCTTTTTTCATATCCTTGTCTCATACCCTCCTCACTCCATCTCTAGGTTTCCTTCTATTTGCAAAAAAAACTATCTCACTGATTCCTAATATCTATCTTTTTTTCTTAAATTATTTATACTTGTATCGTTCTCTTTATATTTCTTTCATATAAGATAAATCGTGTGATACTTAAGATTGTATACCTGATTTCACTAAAATTATTTCTAAAGGTGCAGCCATTTTCCTACAAATGACTGAAACTTATTTTTCTTTATGGCAGAGTAGTACTCCATTGTATATAAACATATTTTCTTTATTCATTCACCTATTATGAACATGTAGTCTGCCTCCAAGATTTAGCTCTTAAGCATTATGTTGCTAAAAACATGGATATGCACATAAAATTGTAATATAATGTTTTGAATCCTTTTGGAAAGGTACCTCTAAGGCTGATAGCTGAATCAAGTGGAACTTCTATTTTTAGTTCTTTGAGGAATCTCATACTGATTTCCATAGTGATTGTACTACTTTGCATTTCTACCAACAATAGAAGAAAAGTTCCTTTTTCTCTGCAATCTCACCAGCATTTGTTATTATTTGATATCTTGATGTGATATAGTACATTTATATGATGTACTATATTAATTTACATATGTTGAACTATGCTTGTATTTTGGACAATCATATTAATATGTTTCCTTGTATTTACCAGTATTTTGTTAAGGATTTTTGCATCTCATTTCATTAAAGAGAAATTCCCTCTTTTGGTTGGTCTTTGTCTGATTTTGGAATCAGTGTAACGCTAGTTCTAAGAATGACTGTAGAAGTAATCCTTCCTATTACATTTAAAGTAAGAACAGAATTTGACAATTATTGACATTAGGTCTTCCTTTAAGTCTTTTAGAATTCAGCAGTGAATTGATCAGGTCACGGCTTTTCTTAGTTGGTAGTCTTTTAATTGCTGCTTCATTTTCATTGACTATTACTGTATTGTTCAGGGAATTTTACATCTTCTTGGTTCAATTTTGGCAATTTATATGTGTCTAGAAATCTATTCATTTCTTCTAGTGTTCTAGTTTGTGTATAGATGTGCACCCAAAGCCTCATGTGATCATAGGACTTTTTCAGAGGTCGCTGAATTTAGAGTGTGTAATGCTGGCATTAAGAGAGTGTGATTAGTAAGTCAGTTCCCTGACTGATTTGCCATAGCTCTGTCTCGGATTAACAGTGTAGGCACTACACCACCCCAGTCTTCTCTCTTGTTGCTTTGGCTGTCTTCCGCCACCATGAACTGTTGCCATGCCACCTGCCTTGGAGCCAGCTGATGATTATGGACTAAAATCTCTACCAATTGTGAGATAAATGAACCTTTCCCCATTTAGTTTTGAGTGTTGCATATTTTATCTCAGCAGTGAAAGCAAAGTAACTAAGACATCTAGATTCTCAATTTTTTGGAGTACAGTTTTTCAAAGTAGTTACTCGTAATCTGGATTTCAGTGATGTCTGTCATGATTTTATCTTTTTTTATTCTCTATTTTAGTAAATTTACATGTGAGTTTTTCTATTTTATTACTTTCAGAAACCAAATCTTTTTTTTTTTTTTTTTTTTTTTTTGGTACTGGGGGTTGAACTCAGGACCTTGTGCTGTACCTCTGCAGACACTGTGCTGCTGACTATATACCCCTGGCCCCCAAAATGAACTCTTATTCATTGATTCTTTGATATTTTAGTCTTAAACTCATTAATTTTTTTATTTTATTTAAGGAGAAAAAGGAAAAAAAGCAGAAAAAGGGTACAAGTTATACAGAATTTCAGAAAAAAATAAACAGGAAACTAGTTAATGGATTACATATTGTCATCTTAGAAATATTTGTTCAAGTTACAAAATTAAAGCATATAAAGTGGAAATTCTAACAGACTGCAAACAGTTCTGTTCAATGATCCAACAAAACTCAGTAATATCATTGTCTATCTTATACACTTAAATATACATGCAGTTATATTGTTTAGAGCACTTTCTTTTCCTCTCTTTGCTCTTATCTTTATAATTTCTTTCCTTGTACTGGATTTGTTTTGGATTATTATTGTTTTTTAGCACCTTGAGGTGCATCATTAAGTTATTTATTCGAGCTCACTTTGTTTGTTGTGGAAATTCAAAGCTATGAATTTCTCTCTTAAAACTTCTTTCATTGTGTCTCTTATGTTGCATGGCATTGCTGTTTGATTCTAGGAACTCTTTAATTTCTTCTTTGCTATCTTTTACGGCTCATTGATTATTCAAGAATGTGTTATTTAATCTTCATATATTTGCACGATTTTGTGGTTTCATTTACAATTCATTTCTCACGTGTGTGTGTGTGTGTGTGTGTGTGTGTGTGTGTGTGTGATGTTGGGAATGAAACCCAGGACCTTGTGCATGCAAAGCAAGAGCCGTACCATTGAGTCACACCTCCAGCCCTGCACTATGATCTGAAAATATGCATTGGATGACTTTCATTCTTTATGAAATCATTGTAGTCTAAGCTATATTCTATTTTGGAGAAAATTTCATGTGTTGCTGAAAATAATATGCTTTGTGTCATTGTTACAGGAATGACCTGTAAATATCTATGAAGTCCATATTTTCAAAGGTGTAGTTTGTCCTGATACCCACCCAAAAAAATGTAGTTCAACCTTGATTTTTTGTTGTTGTTGATGATATTTTTTTCTGGTTAATCTGTCTATTTGTGATAGTGGGTTGTAGCAGTCACTCACTACAAATGTACTTATGTCTATCTGATGTTTCATATCTAAGAATGTTTGTATTATTACTTTTTACTCATTGCTGAGACAAAATACTTGATGCCCAAAGTTGGGAAAGGAAAGGCTTATTTCTTATAGTTTTTGGAGGTTTTAGTCTATATTTAGTTGGCTCCAAGGCAGGGTGGCATGGCGGGGCCGCAGTTTATGGCCCCTACAAACAGCAAGGTGGAAACCAGCAAGAGAGAGAGAGACACATCTTCTTCTTGCCATTACAGTGTATGTTGACTTCACCCCTATGTGGGTGTAGCACTGACACCATCAATCTAAGTGCTAACCAATGAACCAATTACAAATGCACAATGCAAATGCATGAGGCCTCAGGGCCACCAACATAAACCATGACATGAAGTTAGGTGCACTATTATTTGGTGCATATATATTTATAATTTCTATTTCTTCCTAGTGAATTATTTTTTTATACAATATACAATGATGATCTTTGCCTTTTTGATCAGTTTGGCTTGAAGTCCATTTTTAATACAGAATACATACCCTGGCTTTTTCAGGTTTCCATTTCTTGGGATAGTGTTCTTCATCC